TTTTTTTTTTTTTCTTTTTCTCTCAGCCATAACCAACAACTGTTTCCCCCAAACTTCTTCATGGGACTCTGATAAACACTTTAAAGTTGTGAGGAAAAAAAAAGAAAAGAATGGCTTGTAATGATACATGGACTGCCGTTCCGCCTTTCCATATCTGATTGTTTCTCTGTTACCATGATATCTGCTAATATGACTTCTGAATACCACAACAATTTCTTTGCCTCATTTAAAAAAAAAAAAAAAAACATACTATTTGATGCCATCCTGGTTTCATTTAATAAGAATTGCACTTAATCTCCCGTTTTTTGTTTTTTTTGTTTGTTTTTTGTTTTTGTTTTTTTGCAGTTTGTTTGTTAGTTGATTCAAACTTGCAGCCTTCCCACCCCTTTGCATTTATTTTATTTATTTTATTTTTTTTACTCATTCCCCTTTTTATTGTATGGGTTCAACTATTAGACGCTCCATCTTTAAATGCCTTCTGAACAATGTCAGTCTTGTCAAGGCTCACAGCGGCTTCTTATTGGCTCTGTCTCCAGGTCTGTGTTACTAATAAAACACTTGTCAGTATCGACCAGTTACAATTCAGCTTGTTTTCTTTTACTGCGAGTAACACCCTTCATGTTTGAGCCCTAACATTTTGCAGCTCTAACTTCACTGGAGTTCCGTTTCTGTGAGAGGAACACTTTGGTTAATCATCTGCTGCCACCATGTGGTGTAACGGGGAACTGCATTGATCTCAGACTAACTTTGTTTTGGTAAAGGCTTTTTCAGACTGGAATAACCTTTGTCCCCAAAGCTCTAGACAATGGGTTTCTGTCCCATCTTTGTTGTTTATTTTATCTACAGCTTGAACTTGAGACAAAAAACAGAAGCTGTTCTTGTTCATGTAAGCTGTGCGTTTAAGCACTGCTGCAGGCCATAATCGCTTCTAAGTTTTTATGTGTACGTTTATTTGTTTTAATTGTGAAGAAAAGTGTAATTTTAAGACAAAGTATGCAAATTAGTTTTCTAGTTTCTATTTTTATACGCATCTCTACTTGATGATAAAACATCCTCACATGAAGTCCGTTTGGGAGAACTGCTGACCATCTCAATCATGTTGCATAATCTTAATCAGCAGGTAGTGTTTTGTACTGTTTTGTGACTGTTTTGCAAATGAATGACTGTCAGTGAAAAGTATCGACGTTTTTCTTACTGTTAGTGTATCAAGCATGCAGTGCAATAGTCCACTATTATAAGACCTGATTTGGTTGCACATCTGCTAGCCAGCCATAGCTGTGCGTGTGATGTGTGAATGTTTTTTGTCCCAAGCTGAAGACTTCAGAATGTGATTTCTAATCACGGTATAAGGCTGATACAGTATATGCTTTGGTTTGCTAACACCTGCCTCTCACTGATGATTTAAAGGCTGAAACGCAGAAAGAGGTAAATATGTTTTTGCCATTTCTTAGACCACAGCTTCCTTCCAGCCACCTTATTAAAGGAAACCTATTACGCTCTTATACTCCTCAGTTTATCCTCTCAAACAAGTAGTTTAAGCTTCCTTCCACCTTCCTTATAAGCCAAAAGTCTTCTGATTAGCTGCCCCTGCTAAACGGGGGCAAACAGGCAGGTGGGAGAAAGGCGATATAAGTGATTTTGACCCTTTAAGCAGATGGGTTACAGCAGTGGGTTCCATTCCTGTCAGCTAAGGTCAGGAAACGGACTACAGTTTGCACAGGCTCACAAAAATAAATGTTGCCTGTTCTGATAAATTTCTGCTGCAGCATACAGATGGTAGACCCAGAATTTGACCCTGGCATCCGCATGAAAACATGGTTCCATTCTTCCTTATATTAACAGTTGAGACTGCTAGTGGTGGTGTGATGCTGTGGAAAATATTATCTTGGTTCACTTTGGGCCCCTTAGTATCATGTGAGCATCATTTAAACACCACAGCCTACCTGATGATTGTTGCTGAGCACGTCCATCTCTTTTGAGTAGTGCACGCATCTTCTGATGGCTGCTTCCAGCAGGATAACACACCATGTCACAAACTTCAAATGATATCAAAGTGGTTTCTTGAAGATAACTTTGCTTTAGTTTAATGACCTCCACAGTCACCGTATCGCAGTCCAATAAGCACGCTTCACATCATGGATGAGCAAATCTGCAGCAACTGTAATGCTGTGTGATCACGTCAACGTGGACCAAAATCTTTAAGGAATTTTTCCAACAACTTGTTGAATCTGTGCCACCGAGAATTGAGACAGCTAATAAAGTGACGAGTGTATATGTGATAGAAAATTAGGAAAACTGAAACAGATGCCCTTTTAAACCTGCCTCGCTTTCATCCACCTTACAAATTGAGCGGATTTCTTTGCGAGCTCACTCCAAGAAGAGTCTATCATGTTATCATTGATCAATCTCACATCCCTGTTCTCTGTTCACCATTTTGGTGGGGGGCCGGGAGGAGGAGTTGGCTGTCTGGTTGGGGTCTGGGATGCAGGGCCTCCCTGCTGCTACAAGACCGGGGGCGGTGTGCTTGTCTCCACCCCAGAGCAAAGGGCAACATCTCCTGAGTCTTGGGGCAGATTGCCCCTCTGGGGGTGATAGGACCTGGAGGGTGTTAGTGTGTGTACAGTGTTCATTTCTGTTTGTCTTCACATTGGACGAGGGCTGTGTATTTGCATATGTGTGCATGAGGGTGGGAATGCATGTTTGTCTATATGTGTCAGGTCGGGTCTTAGACTCCACCTCTCTGGGAACATCTCAGGCCCCCCCAGGCGTGGGGGTCTATCTCCCCCGACCACACTCCCTGCCGGTGGCTGATGCCCTCAGCCGTTGGTGCTTTGGTGGTTCACGGTATCCAAGGCTGGGCACTCAAGTATGTACTGGCTCACTCCCGGTGGCTGCTTTTGCTTGTTTTCTTGTTTTTTTTTCTTCCAGCAGGTAACCCATTATAAAATAATATAATTAACAATAATAAAGATCAATCAAGTGGACCATGGCAAAGCCATAGTGATCCACTTGGAAAAATAAATCCGTTAGGCATTTTTCTTGGCCTTCAGACCATAATTCTGATAGCTACAGTGCCGAACGGGAGAGACAAAAAAAAAAGAAGAGAATATCTTGTAATATTATAATAATAATAATATATAATGTAGATCAGTCAGCGTTTGACATCAGCTGAGTATACACTTTAATTTTTAAAGTTCCTGCTGTGAAAGAGCCATGAGACTGAAATCTAGAACACAAAGGGGAAAAATACAACCCCAAAAATGTATAACAAATACAGAAAACAAGAGACAATATTATCTAAAATTATCAGCCAACGTTCTGGTCTGAAGCAGGAGAGGTTGTTTCTCTAACAAAAATACGTGCAGTACTTTTTAGATCTATGCAATCTGTGTCATCACTGTGCACAAAAGGAGATCATGAGGTTTTGAACCACAGTGATGTCACATGGATGTGACTCACAGACCTGTGGATCATATGCGCAATAGGCAGGTGAGTGTTTCAGGATGTATGAGTGGCAGCTTTGGAGGCACAGTTTGTTTACCAAATGTGTTCATGACAAAATATGAAACCTTTTAAATATAAATTATGAATAAAATAACCCAGTAAATTCCCAGAGTTACACATAAAGTTATCCTAAAACCAGCATTTAGCAACAATTTGCGTAAATGATAAAACTCCTGATTTTTTGCTTCTTTCGTCTGTTATGGTGTAATGAGTTGTAAACCCCGAGTAATTAGAGGAAACTTCGTAGGCACTGTGTTCACCATTAAATACGCAGTAACTTATGCTTACATAAAATAATCCAACATGCTGCAGAAATGTGAATAAACGTGTTTGGTTCAGGGTTTATCACCGGACATCAGCGAAAGCTCCAGCACAATGAAATGTCGCATGTTTTTCAGTTTCTCCTCCCTAACCACAAACTGCTGGGCCTCGGTCATATGACAAGGACAGATCCCTCCTCAGTGCCCTGCCCCGCGTCTTTATGCGCAGCGGCTGATAAAAAAAATAAAATAGTTCCACGTAAAAGAAAAGAAAAAGACAGAAAGGCAACGTTGATTAGTAAGCTCTTCGTATACTGTTTATTTCAAGATTATTATTATTTTCTTCTTGAATACGCGTCGATTATCATCACATAGTCGACGTTAATGGGGTTTAAAACAAGGTGAGGTACGCCCCTGCGAACTACCCATTTCCTCTACGTCATGTTGTTATTGTATCCCTCCGCTGCAATCGCACTAGGAAAACAGCTGTGGCGAGGCTAAGGCTAGCTAGCATCGTTTGTGTTTGTGTGTCCGCGATTCGAGTCAGTTCTTAAGCAACCCGTACCACCGCGGAGTGACCGACTTGTTGTCTGTCATCTCTTTCAAAGATGAAGTTTCAGTACAAAGAAGAGCATCCCTTTGAGAAGAGGCGGTCCGAAGGCGAGAAAATAAGAAAGAAGTATCCGGACAGGGTGCCAGTAAGTAG